GATTCCCCAAAAAAAAAAAAAAAAAAAAAAGTTTAATCAGGACTCACTGTACAATGGGACCAAGGTAGAGCACGGCCAGTCAGCACGTGTCAGGGTGAATCTTACAGAACTGCACAAACACTGTTTCCACACCCTCAGTGGAGGAGGGTGGCAGAGACAAGCTTCATTGAGAGAAGGACAGATTCATTAACTCATGTCATGAGGCAAGTCCACTGAGCATCCGCAAAGAGACAGTGCTACTAACAGAACCCAACTACACAAGTGCCTTATTAAATAATTCCGTTGTTTAGGTCTGTTGAATATATAGAGGGCTGTGACCTCTACTCTTCACCCTATACCTGACGTCTCTGCCTAGCAGACAGCTGCACCCCATCACTGTAACTTATTCCCTAGCAGAGCTCCTTTCTCTTCACTACTGTGACATTTTGAGCAATTCGATTCTGCTAGATTATGAGTGAACTTTACGCAGGCTCTCCCCTCTGGAGTGGATGGCAGCTCATCTCATCTCTGTGTCCCGGATGCCTCACGCAGTATCTGGGACACATAGACTGTGAGACAGTCAGATTGATATGTGGACAGATGGACACATGGGCAGGCGGGCATATGGACACATAGATGGGCACATCCATACACGAACAGAGAACACGTGGACATGTGGATACATGGACAGATGGACACCTGGACGTCTGGACACACATACATATACATGCAATCACCAAACGCTTATTTTTCCTTTTTTTTATTGCAGGTCGCGCTCTATAGTTTAGGCTGGCCCTGAACTCGCAGCGATCCCCCTTGCTTCAGCCTCCACAGTGCTGAGTTAACTGCTGGGGACCACCAAGGCCAGCACCAAAAGCTTTTTTATTGAAACACACAAGTTCCGGTGCTCAGGTCCCTAGCAGGGGACCGGCGGCCGCTAGCGCGACGCGGGAGGACTGCAGCCCAGAAGGCTCTCCTGGGCCGATGAAGCGGCCCGGGCGGGCAGGGAGGCGAGTCCAGGGGGATGAGGACACTGGGGCAGGCCCGACGCCGGCTGGGGAGGCGTGCGAGAGCGCCTCACCCTCAGTCGGCGGGACCCCTGCCCGCCCTGCGCCGTTGCCCAGGCGATCACCCAACCCGCCCCCTAGGTTGCCGACGTGGCTCCGCCAGGGCTCAGCCCGCCCCCTCGGCCTCCTCCGTCGGGACCCTTTTCACCTGTACTTCTGTCTCCGGCGGCCACTCAGTGTTGACTAGCAAGTCGTAGAGGATTGTCTCCTCCTCGCCCTCAGCGCCGCCCGGATCCGAGGCCAGCCCGCACTCGGAGGCCGCCATGTTCGGACACCGCGGCGGGGACCTGCGCTACGGCAGCCCGCGCAGGACACGCCTCCCCGGACCAGCGTGATCGCGGGGCACTGGGCGGAGCGAGCAGACGCGGAAAGGGACGACCACACCCGCTGAGCCCCGCGTGGCGCAGTCCTTGTCAATTATCTACCCGACAGGCATTAAGTCAGGGAGAATTAATCTCAGTCAGCACTGTGCGTGTGCACGCGAGTATGTTACTGGGGACTGAATCACCCAAAGCCTTCGCGTTTACAGCTTCCCCAAAATTAGAAAAAAAAAGACTAAAGCTCCTGCTTAGACAAGTGCAGGGACCGCAAGTCGGGCATCACGAGCCACGACAGCCCCGCCCCCAGGGCGGGCTGAGCCTGCCAGAGTCTGGTGTGGCCGTGCACACTTGTAATCCCAGCGCTGGGGAGGTTGAAAACAGGAGGCTGAGCAAAGTCCGAGCTGCGTAGTGAAACGTAACAACCAGATACATTTAAAAAAAAAAAAAAAAAGAGTACGGCTAAATTGTCCACGCTGGGCTCCAGCTTGCGCGATCCTCCTGCCGCACGGTACCTCCGCACGACCATCACTGGCCTTCAGGGCCAGAGAAAGAGGATAGAGAGGGGAGTGAGAGAAGCGGGGAGGGTGAAAGGGGGAGAGAGAGAGAGAGAGAGAGAGAGAGAGAGAGAGAGAGAGAGAGAGAGAGAGAGAGAGAGAGAGATCCAATTCAACAGATTTGGCAAATGATAGGTAACACAGGAGGGAAACAGGCAGGATCAGAGAGGACAGTGAGAGCCAGACATCCACAGAGACTTCCCCGAGAAGGGTGCGCCTTTGAGGATTGGTAGGCCTTGACCCCAATGGATGTCTGGAGGCATTTTAGGGAAAGGGGTAGGGGTCAAGAAAGCAGACTCGGGGCATAATGTCACAGGTCTGTATTCCCATCCCTCTGGAAGGCTGAAGCAGGAGGATGGGAAGTTCAAGCCCAGCTTGGGCAACTTTGTAACCTAACAAGAGCCTGCCTCAAAATAAAAATGAAAAGGGCTGGCCTCAGTGCAAATGCCTGAGATTGATATCGGAGAATGAAACGCCCAACCTGAAAGGTACCTGGGACAAGTACATGATCTCTAAAGCCGAAGAATGAACTTTAGGAACAAACAGAGGTTAGCCGCAGAATATATTTACTGGGGAAAGAAAGCTCCTATCCTAGAATGGGTCAGAGGGAGCACCCAAGTGGTTTGCCTCAGGAAGCTGTCTCTTCCAAAGATTTTTATAGAGTAAAACCATGTGGTAAGGCGGGTCTAAGGTGGAGAACATGGGAACTAGCTTAGATAGGCATGATGTGGAGCAAAACTATGGTCAACCAATGAGATTACAAAGCACCATTGCTCAGGTAAAAATTAATTAAATCCAGAACCAAATGAGGAAGCAAGTCATAGCAAGAGGGCTTGAATACAGAATAGGGGCTTTTCCTATTGGGAGATGGGCTAGTGACTTTCTGGCTCTTTCAAGATGATTGATACCAATTTAGAGTATCAGTCCCTGATGCCCACCCCTAGGGAAGTATGTGGCTGCATTTGTTTACTCTTTTGTCTTGAGGTGTGGTCTTTTCCAAAGTTGCAAAGTCATCTTGTCTTCCGTACTGTCTGCTTGAGGGCCTAGCCCTGTCTGACCACCTATATTTCTATCTAATTTAACTACCTACAATGAGTTAAAACCTCAGTAATGGAAATGAAAGGAAGGAGGAAAGGAGGAAGTCAATCTGAAAAACATGAATGGACAGTTTGACACAAGATTGTGCCATTATCATCCTCAATACATTTTTGTGTACATGCTTTTGCTACATGTGCTATGCCAAGCTTTCTATTATACCTTCTCTACAACTCTCTACAATGCTGCAAGAGAAGGGTTCATTCACGACCCCATCTGCCTATAGGTATACCTGCCTACAGCAAGATAGATATTAGGAGCTGGGCATGCTGCTGCACACCTATAATTCCACCACTCAGGAGGCTGAGGCAGGAAGTTCTACATACTAAGTTCAAGGCCAGCTGGAGCTATGTATCAAGACCCAGACTCAAATATAAATAAATAGCCGGGGAGATCAGTGGCATAAGGCCCTACCCTGCAATCACAAGATTCTAAGTTAGATCCCTGGTGCCAAATAAATAAATACATATAAAACCAAGGAGAGATAGATAGTTATTAGGAAGCTGAGGCTTATCTTTGGAACCCCACTATGGTGGCAAGCCAGCAATGGGAAGTTACACTAGAAATATTTTATGTAATACTGAGATGATTGATAGAGGAGGCACTGTAAATACCCATCATAAGGGCCCTTACTTTGAATTTGGTAAAGCTGTTGATGAGAAGAAAAAGCTGGGAAACATCTCCCTGATCCTCCCACCCTGATGTCCACCAAGGACACCTCCACTGGACTCGGATGCCATGATAGCCATCCACTATCCTACCTCAGCATCTGACACAGACTGCTGACGCCACCTCACCATGAGGTCACTTCCTTCTGGTGATGCTCCCCACTGAGCTTTCAGTACTTGATACACTTTAGATGAGCTCAGCCATCAGACCCATAAAGGACAAAGGCTCCAGTTAGCCCTTTGTGGCAGTGCTTATCAGCACCAAAGAGATCAGCCAGTCCAAAGGGTTGCTGTCATTTTAAATCTGAGACTGCACATAAAATCGGACTGAGGCATTTAAATGCCACCTACTTGAACTGGCATAATTTGCACTTGACTGGACAGTGCACAAGCTCATGATGAGAAGTATAAAATTTAATCATAATTATTAAGAGCAATTGAGGAAATTCTATTTCCCTTATAAAGCCTAGAGAATCCCAGAAAATCCTTTCATAAATATTGTGAGACTTCCATAATATTTCTTGGCAGCCAAAATAGATATCATAAAATTCAAGCACAGTTTTAGGGAGGAAAATTTCAGCCTCTTCCTTAAAGCTCACTGGCTCTAAGTTGTTACACAGTCCCTGGGGCCTGCGCCTCTACAGTCCCCACTCATACACACAAGGTGTCAGCAAATGGGAGGAAGACCTACCCAGGCAGTCACAAATATAAAAACCAGTAGCAAGGGCAAAAAGTGAGCAGATAAATCAGTAAAAGCAAATCGGGAGCTCAGGTGGACAAGGTGGTGCACGTCTGTAATCTCAGCAGTCTGGGAGGCTGAGGCAGGAGGACAAGTTCATGAAGTCAGAAACTTAGCCAGACCCTATCTCAAAAAATAAAAATAAAATAGAGCTGAGGATGTAGTCCTGTGTTCAGTCCCCACTACATTACTGAACAAAAGAGAAGTGCATTGTTAAATTCTCAATTATTGGCTTAGTTTGTAACTGAAAATAGGTTTTTTTTTGTTAAAAAAAAAAAAAGGTAAATGGTCTGGAATATAATTTGAGCAGCATCAAAAGGTAAAATGTATTAGTAAACGAACAAAGATATGATGAAGCAGCCAAAAATATTAAGAACAGGATCTCAGTATCCACACATGAGTGCTCACCCTGAGATGCTTTCTACTTATTTCTGTATCCAATTCAAACTAAGCTACTGGAAAAAGGCAAACTGCCTGCTTAACATACACAGGCAAGGCTTTGGAAGGGAGGTCCACTGAACAGTGTGACCATCTTTTCAATAGGACTAAAGAAGTTTCTATTCTGTTGCATTCCAATGTATTATTTAATATATATTTGTTTTAAAAAGAAAGAAGCCTGGCATAGTGATACATGCCTGTAACCCCAGTGCTCAGGAGACTGCGGCAGGAGGAGCGTCATGAGCTCTAGGCCAGCATGGGCTGCATAGTGAGCTCAAGCCCAGACTGAATAAAATGGTGAGACTATGTCTCACAAAACCAAAAGGAAGAAAAAGAAGAAAATGAAATATAGCTTCTAAAAATTGAATGAGAAAAATAAAGGAAGGTACCCCTCTGAGATAGGGAAGGATAGAATAAACAAGCAAATATAAAGTAAGATAGAAAAAATTCTCCCATCGAAATAAAATAGTAATATAATCATTAAGCTAATAAAACACTCAAGCAGAGCTCTCCATTTATATTACACACACACTTCTGTCTTCCAACTTTGCTTCACCCTATAAAGAGTAATTTGAGAAATAGGCAATGTAATTTTCCCTGCTTTGCTCATTTTTTTAAATCATAGAAAATTGTTCATCATTACAACTTCAGATATTGCTTAGCCATCATTTGTGAGTGATCTCTCTCTCTCTCTCTCTCTCTCTCTCTCTCTCTCTCTCTCTCTCTTCTCTTCTCTCTCTCTCTCTCTCTCTCTCTCTCTCTCTCTCTCTCTTCCTATCTCTCCCTCTCTGAATTCTGAATTGGGGATTGAACCAAGGGCCTTCACACTGAACATTCATTTTTGAGACACAATCATGCTGAGCTGCATGATTTTTTTTCTACTTTTGAAGTAAAATGATGGTAAAGTTCTTCAATTTATTAAGTTTCCACTAATAAAAAGCTACAGGGAATATATGAATCAGAAGAGCAAGGATTCCATGAGGCTGAGGACTAATAATGTGTTCTGATAAAGCAAAGTAGCTGAAACCACTGAAACTCCTACAAACCTCAGAACCAAACACCTTCTGCTATGTGAAAAGCTAAATTAAACACCAAGGATTAAAAACCATTAAAAGGGGATTATTAAACATCACTCAGTAAAATAGTTTTCACTCTCCCATGGAATTTCATACAGTGAACTATTTCCTAATGAATTATTTATCACTTCAGGTTCCTCTACAAATTAAGTACATGTACACTTCAGCTGGTGTGGTGGCTCTGACGTGTAATCACACTACTTTGGGAGGCTGAGGCAGGAGAATCATGAATTCAAGGGCTGTGGGCCAGCCTGGACTACATAGCACGGTTGTGTCTCAGTAGCTGAGGCTAGATAGCCTGGCAAGTACAAAGTCATAAGTTTGATTCCTGGTGTCCCCCAGCCTCTGTCTCAAAAAACAAAACATATACATATATACACATATATACATC